CCCCCCCCCCCCTTTTTTCCTTTTTTTAAAGCAGGTTGCGAATTGCCTCGGCCAAAACCGGAGAGGATATCCGAGGCAAAAAAAGGCAAATCTCTCAAAACAACGGAGGGAGCGGCTCAGGCGGAGCGTCGGGAGGCCGCTCTGCGGGTTGGACTGCAAAAAGTGCCGGCTCTTCACGGGGCAAAGCCAGCGCGGGAGCGTCGGCAGGGACCTGGCCGGCGGCCGTCAAACCCCCGAGACCTGTCCCAGGCGCGAGGCCGAATCGCGTCCCTTTTTGGGCCGTAAACTGGGGCAAGCGCTACTTCTGACTGTATTTTCGCGCGTTGCCCGGCACGAAGGACGGCGGCCTCGAGCGGAGCGCCCGGCTCTTCCTGCAACGCGACGAGCTAAAGGCAAGCGCTGTTGTTCGGCCAAACTCGGGTTCCGCTCTGCGTTTTTATTGCCGAGTTTCTCGCCAAAAGAGGCGTTCCAAAAAAAAAATAAATAAATAAAATGAGAGGGAACCTGCCGCTTAAAAAAAAAAAAAATAATAAAATCAATAAATCAGGCCCAAAGTTTGCGCGTTCCCCTACTCGAAGGCCGCGCTCCTTGAATCGGAGAGCAGCTTTCATCGCCGACCCGCAGCCCCGCAACACGAAACCGGCTTTGCGCCCCTAACCGCGCCGTCTTCTTCCAGCCGGACTTTAATCTCGGGAATAAACGCGTTCCCACCGCGGCCGTGTAAAAGGGGCAGAGCTGGGTCTACAGCACGTTAAGAAGAAATAAGGTTTACTCACAGGCAGGGGACAGAGTTTTCCATTGACCTTGACAAATAAATTAGGAGGGAAGTAATCTTCTTGGGGACAGCTGGTTTCACACAAGCAAAACCTAAGGAGCAGGAGGGAGAAACCGGCAAGTGAGTGGCGACGCTGGCGAGAAACGGCAGCCAAACTTCCCCCTGAAAAAGGGGAAAAACGGTTTCCGAGCAGGATGGGCCGACGGCTGGAAAAACGCCCCAGCGGATGAACAGCCCTGCCCGGGTTTCGAACCCCCCGCGCGCGGCAAAAGCGATAGGAGAAAGGAGAACGGGGGAGGGGGGAAAGGCCGGCGGCTTGAACCAGCCGCTAACGCGCCCACCGTGAAGCGTGCAGGGCTGATTTTTGGCCATCTGAGCTCTCCGGCGTCGCGGTTTCAAAGGCAAAGCCGCGCTCCTCCGGCCCGACGTCGTTCCAGAAGCGCAACACGAACCCAGCGGCGGGGTTCAAGCGGACCCGGCTGCCGTTTAGGACGGAGGAGCAGGAGGACCCGCCGTTCGCCCCGGTGAATTCCCACACCGCCGGCGGCATTATCAGACGGTTTAATCCGGGTTCGGCTGCGTTCACGCGTGACTTCGCCCTCAGGTCCCGCGGCACCTCGAGAGGCGAGGAACCACCTCTGTTTAGGCTACCCAGCAGAAGCGCCCGAGGAACTAAAAAGTCGTGTTCGACCCAAAGCGAATCTTGCGATGGGACAGACCGGTTGCTGCTCGGACTCTCTCGAAGCTTGTCCGCCACCGCTCGATATCCCGCCGTCACCTCCCTCATCGCTCGGGTCGGGAAAGACCTTGACGGTCACCGAACCCCACCATCGGCGCCGGCAAGCCGGAACGGGCTCTGCTTCAAATCCCCGTCCCCTTTCACCAGGCAGCCGCGCGCGCTCCCTTCTCCCTCCGAGGAGGCTGCTCCGCCAGAGACGCCTCCCCGTGCCGAAACTGCAGTCCTGCCGCGCGGCCAACAAAAACGCGCGGCCGAGAGCCGGGCTGCCACCCCAGCCGGCTCTTCCCGAGCCCCGGCACGTCACGCCGATGCAGAGCCGCACCGCCACCGTCCTCGAAAAATAAATCTGGTCTTGCCGTTCTTTAAACCTCTCTCTCCTCGCCAAAGAAAAGGAGGAATGAAATCGAGAGTTAAACCTTTTTCTCGCCTGGGCACGTGAGAACACCGCACGTGCCCGAAGCGCATCGGTGGGAGAGAAGCAGCGAATCCCGCCACCGTCCGTAACTCCCGCGCTGAAGTTTGCCGAACAAGGGTTGACTTCTTCGGGCGAAGGGACGCACTCCGGATGCCCCAGGAGAGCTCTCA